TGATGTGCTCTAACCAAACAAAAAAAAGACAAGCAGACAGAAATAGATATCTACGGGGCTTTTTCTCCTGCATCCAGTTATTTTATTTACAGAAGGACAGAGAGAGAAAGGGCTCTGGTCACGCTGGGTTTCTCTCTTTGACCTGGAGGCAGAGCATATTCGGCATTTTGACAAATTGAGAACTGTTTTTCTCCATAGTGGCTCTTCTCCTGAGAGCAAAATGGCTAATCTTTTAGCAAAGAGGGGTAAAGATGAAGCAAGGATCTGCAGTCTATTTATTTCTTTCATTAGTTGCTTGTTTGTGTTTGCAACAGGCAGAGAAGGATGAAAAGTGGAAGGAATGAACCAGTAGCTGCTGATTTCAGTCTGCATCCCAGTTATGTATTCTCTGCATACGTCAAAATGTTTTTTTCCGAAGCTACAGAAAATGGATTTTGATTATATTCTTTGAGATCTAAATTTACTTCCATGAATCTTGGCCTCAGGGCTTTGGAAGCGGCATCATTTACTCTGTTGTCGTTGCCAAAAACAAACTGGCTCTTGACTTCTCTGAGCCAATTGGAGATTTTCAGCTAAAATTAAACTCGATGGGAAACAAAGGCAGTGGCTTTCATAGCTTAGTTAGCAAGAAATAATCATTCTTTATTTTAATGAAATTTAGCTTAAATCCATCCCGGCTGCACCATTTATTCTCTTTTGTTTACCAACATCAAACAGGCTTCAAATGAATTCTAGAAGTTTGGGGCTTTTATAGCAAAAAATGTTATATGTTTTAATAGATGCCAAAATTCACAATAGTGGTTAAATTGGCGACGGAGACCAGTTTTTATGATTTTTTTTATGCACCTTTATTATGATAAATATTTACATTTTAACTTTAACTCTCACTATTTCCATATTTTTTGTATATTTACTGTTGTAAATTTACTGTTCATTATATTTTCTATTTGGTTTTATAAATGTTGTTATAATTATCATTATTATGTCCAAATCCATGGCTTCAAACTTTCACAACCTCTTAATGTGAACAGGTTGGTCTGACCCAGCTCATGATAGTTCCTTCTTATTATATGTGATCTTTTTCAAGAGAAATATTACGCTCCTTATGTAGAATCTTTGAAGATCAGGCCCAAACTCTTTGATACCATGTCTTCAACCGTAGGTGGAAAATAATCTGTTGCTATGCTTTGCAAAGATTTAGGAACAAAAAATAGATTATTTTTTCATTGGCTCATTTTTATAATCACTACTGAAAGGAATGATTTGGAATATTTTAATCTTTGTTTATAAAGCATCTTTTAGACGTTCATCTCCAACAGAGTCACAAATTAAATTCACAAAATAAGCAATTTCTGTAACTATGAAGGGCACCCCATTGTGTTGTAATAAAAATACTGAAAATGGCTTAGTGAGCATTCCTCCTATTTGATGACATTAGCAACATTAACAGATCTGGTTCAACAGTTCAGCGGAGGAGGAGGGGTGCGCTGAGCGAATCGCTCAAGCTCAGGTATAAAACGGTGAGTCTCATCCGTATGTGGAGCGTGTGATTGCTGCCTCTTCTTGGTCGCCTGAGAGCACAGAAGTGGAGTGGAGGACTGTGTGCAGACCACTGAGGCATGAAGCAGCAGTTAGGCACAAATGCTGCAGTTGTGCTGCAGCCTGCAGCTGCTTCCTCTGAGAGGGTGAGAGCACAAAGGGCCTTCGATGAAGTGTCTCTGTGGGACTGGTACACCAGAACACCCCTGGCTCTTCTGCCAAATGCTTCCACACAATCATCCCTTAGATATAACATCACTACATTGGTGTACCTCTGAGGCACTTTGCTCTACTTTTTTGGCCACAGTATGTAGAGGACCAACCTTTTTATTACATTTTAGGACTCCTAATGCAGTTTTTAGAAGGAAATGGAGGAGTGGGAACTGTCTTTTTCAGAGCTAGTAATGTGATTAGGAGGCCTGCTTAAGTGTTGTACATTGTACTCATGCAGCTGAGTGAAAGGCAGCTCTGCTGGTAATGAAGTGGCCCCTGCACTCCACTCAGGTTGCGATGAATTAGTTCACAGGGCCACATGAGATGGATTGAAAGGAAACTAGCACTGTGTTTGCCTGTTTAAATGTTTAATCGCCAAACTGGAACCAGTAGTAAACTGGGGCAGTGATCAGGTTTTCTTGAGCCACAATACAGTTAAAGAAACCTTAGAATGAGTTGGTGGAAAAGTTCATCCTGTCTTATATAATCCTCTGCATTGTTGGCCAAGAGTAGCGGACTCCCGTTCCCAGAACATCCTTCCTATTTACAGATTTCTGATTTTAAAATAAGAACACAAAGCTGTGAAGGATTGGATCTTCTTTTAGATTCCGTCCTTTCACTATATTTATCGCCTTCCTCCTACCAGATCTTTACTCTCTAAACTCCTGAATAAAACTTTCTTATCCATGTTTTCCCATCCACATTCACTTCCATAGCGCATCGTTAATTCAACTTTTTCCACCAGAGGTACCCAGTGAGTGGCAGACACATTTACAACACTTCTTAGGCGCTTTGAACCTGCTTTAAAGCAGCGCTGCTGTGAAATTGGCTGCAGGGAAAGAAGAGGAACAAAAGCAAAGCTTTTAGCTTTGAATGATGGGATGAAAAAATGCTATCTGCAGAATGGCCTGTGCTGATTTGGTGCCTATTAGTATTGTGTGCGTGCATGCTGTGCATGATTGGATGATTATATTTGATTGGGTGTGTAGGAAAGGTGCATGAAGAGACGGAGATGGTTTGAAAGATCATTAGCGGGATGTGTGTCATTTGTTTTAGTTTAGCTATTGTTGAAACAGTAGCCGCGATGAAAACAATCACGTCTGACTTCACTTTAAGCATTCTGATATTATTTCTCTGCTTCAATAATTTATGCTAAAAACAAGTGGGGGAAGAGTTAAAACCGAGCAGCTCCTCTTTTGTTGCATCCCCTGTTTCTACAGCGATCACGGTAACTACATATGTAGGTGGTCTTCTTGCAAGCATGTATTAAGTTGTCGGCTTTGGATTTGTTGCCATTTGTTCGTCTTTCTGCCTATTGATTTTTCCATAGCTGCTTGCCAGTAAGTGCTGTCTGAGATCTGCTAGATGTAAAAGCTGAGTGGAGTCATCTTTCTGCAGCAGGAAGTCTGATACATTTCCTGAAAGTTCCCCTCATGTTGATGCTTACCCCAGATCGATTGCATTAATGCTGAGGGTCTCTCATGTCAGACCATTGTGCTTAAAAAATAAAACTCCTACCACTGCTTTATAAATAGGAAAACTTTCTTTCATCGTCACAGTCTGACTTTATCCTTATCATTGTTGTTCACCAGTGTGCCACAGAATGTCAAGGCGAGCCTGTCCCTATCTCCATCCGGGCCGGGGCGGGCAGGCAGCGGTGGGGGGTCCCCGACGTCTAAAACCAGCTGCTGTGGCGGGGTCCCGGTGGAGGACATGCAGGCACTGGCCATCACCTCGCTATCTGCAGCTGATGTAGCCAAACAGTATGAGCACATCAGAGAGCTGGGGAAGGGCACGTACGGCAAGGTGGACCTGGTGGCACACAGGACGCACGGTGAGTCCGCTTGAAATGCAGAAGATATGCAATCAACCTCTATTCTTAGTCAGAATCACTCATTTAGAGACTTACGACCCCCTGTAATTGTCCGATGTGCCGTTTTATGCACAACACGGTGCCTTGAAAAAATAGATTTATCTAAAAATGTCCTTGTCTTCTGATTTTACAACCACAAACTTTCTTTCCGGCCAGTAAGTGTAGCAGTCCTGCTTGCCGTTCTCATTCCATACTGTTTACCAGCAAGTTGCCAGATCAGTTAATGCTAATTAGCAAACATTTAACCTACTTGATCAGAAGAAAAATGGCAGTCAGAAACCTAAGTGTGACTTCTAAGCTCCTTTTGCTTCTTTAAGTTAACACCAGACTCGGACTGGGAACAATTTTCGGCCCTGGCATTTTTCCATCTATTACAGCGCCGCCATAAACCGCCTGTATATAACAAATCTCGCCTAATTTGTACCAAAGTCTATTGATATTTAAGGCCATAAATCTAAAGAAGAACATTCCTTATCCTAAACTGGCGCGGAAGATGGGAAACGTTAGCGTACAGATGGAAAACCCCATCATGCACCGCAACAAATTTTCGCAAAATATTCCAACATAATTTCGCCAAATATAAGAGAAACATCGTAGTTTGGTTTAAATAAAGCAATTTAGTTTATTATAATTTAGTTTGTTGAATATATATATTCATATATAATATTTATGAATATATACTGCATGCATCATTTAGGTAGTTAACATTGTATTACTTCTTGAGCTTTTGAATTATTTACTATCACAGGTCGGTGCTTCGGCCAGAGAGTAAGTGTTGGTGCCAGTATGATTTAAGGAGGGCCCCGGCCCTCGCACGCTGAAAGTTGGACCGGCCGGTATCACAGATTACCAGTCCAAGCCTGGTTAACACCAATGCTCAAAAACCCCAATTTTGCTTCTACTTTGTTTATTTTTTGGCTTTAATTTTAGAAATTTAGCGCAGTAAAAAGCCCTTTCTCAAGGCCATCACAGAGACATTAGGATCTGGCAACTCCTGAACTTCAAGCCACTTATCTTATTGGCGCAGAATCATTTCATGCTGATGTTGGCATCACAACCAGATGTAAATATTTCTATATTTTGGATATGTCAGCATTTTTAAATAAATTATTAATTATCGATATATATTTAGTAAAATTAGTACTTCTATTCCCTTAATTCTGCACCACTTTAGATGTTCTCTCAATGTATTTTAATACTTAATTGTTTTGATAAAAAGGTTTTAGTTATGAGAATTAAAGTATCGTAGGTAGATTTTGTATGATAGACCAACACAAAGTCGTTTCTTTCATGGGGTGTTTCCTTAGAGGCACAAATCTGTCCAATCTCACTCAGATTAGGTGGAGACTGTGAAAAACCATTTTCTAAACCTACTAGTAGTTCTCCGAGAAAATAAGGCTATATTTAGTAGCAACATGCTGTCTGCAAAGATCCAACAGGCTCTCTTTTTTTCAGGCACCAAAATCGCGCTGAAGTTTGTCACCAAGAGCAAGACGAAGCTGAAAAGCTTTCTGCGGGAGTACAGTTTAACCGGCTCTCTCAGCTGCAGCCCTTTCATCATCAAAGTCCTGGACGTGCTGTTCGAGACGGAGGACAGCTATGTTTTTGGACAGGAATATGCCCCCTCCGGGGACCTTTTTGACATCATTCCGCCGCAGGTACATATGCATGATGTCAAGAACAAAAAATTTATTTTCTCTTGTTTTAAGAAGATCTTTCCATAACATAACATGCTAAATATTGTTTTCACAATATGCTGCATAAACAATATTATAAATTATTACACTGCAAAAGAGGAAATATTAGTAAGTCAATCTTTAGCAAATTAGGTGCATTTTGTTCTTGAAATGAGCAAGTAAGACAATTTGCATCATAAACTGCAGGAGGTAAAATGTTAGTAAGTCGACTTTTAATTGAAAAAGGTGTAGTTTTCCTTATTTTGAGCAGGTAGGTGAGATAATTTAGCAATTGAATAAGAACATTTATGTTTAAAATTGCAGCCTCTTATTTCAACTACATAATATCCAAGTATCTAATTTTAAGGGCAAAACTACTCATTCTTAGATAATCTTATTAACCTGCTCAGATTAAGGACAAATAACAAATAATTTAACAATTTTACTGCTTTTTTTTTTTAGATAAGTTTTTTTGTGTATATTTTAACAATTTGTTGTGCCAGCAAGAGCCGATTCTTTTAGATCACTAATCTTCTTTTGAGAAATTTCTACTCCAAATAAGTGCAATAATCCCTTATTAAGAAAATGTCAATTGTCAAGTATTAAAATCAGGATGTATATTCTCAAATCAAGAAGTCTTACTGAGTTCACATTATCTTGCTGCACTGGCAGATTATTGCATTTATTTTAGTATAATTTTCCCCAAAAGTAGATTAATAATTCAACAGAATCTGCTCTTGATTAGTATTTAAATCTCAAAACAAGAGCAAAATGACCTTTTAGGTAGACTTACTATTGTAAGACTTGGTTAGAAGGACAATATTTGCAGTAATAAACAGGGTGTGTGACCCTAAACAAGTTGTTTATGCTGGAGAAATCTCAAATAGGGCTGGATTAAAACTATTCTGCAAAAAAAGAGTGGACCAAAATGACCCAACTGAGATGTAAGGAGTTACTGTTATCCAGTTGGGAAAAACAGAAGGGGGATGGTGGAATCGTCTTTTTTCTTCTTTTGGAAGCATACATAGCTTAATTAATTTAAAATATTTACCTAAAGCAATATGCATGGTATGGTTGTTATATGTCGGGTACGTCGGTCATTGACCTTGACCAAGGCACCTTAAAGTAGAATGGGGATGCCTTCCTGCCTTACCCCCCCCCCCCCCCCCCAACTGTCATGCTGCTGTTATCACAAACACTTGATGGCAGTCAGTTCTTTCAGTAGTACAATCATTTATTAGGATTAGAGCGTATTCACTTCTCTACATATGGCCAGAAAGGCTTGGTTTCATTAAAGATTCTACTCAACGTTAAACTCTTGTTTTTTATGGACTACCATCAAGTGTTTGTGAAAAAATGAGTGTTTAACATCTCTGCAGAGATTACAGTCAGTTTTCAACAGTTTTCATTTACTTAGGTTATCTTTTTTTGAAGCTGAAATGAGTTTAAGGCTCTCCAAGATGTGAAAGAAAAACACAAAAGTAATACCAGTAGGATAAGGGTTAAAGTTTTTCCTTTGGTGTCTCCTACAGGTGGGTCTGCCAGAGGAGATGGTGAAACGCTGCATGCAGCAGCTCGGTTTGGCTCTGGACTTCATGCACAGTAAAAACCTGGTTCATCGGGATGTCAAACCCGAGAATGTGCTTCTTTTTGACCGCGAGTGTCGGCGCATCAAGCTGGCTGATTTCGGCATGACTCGACGTGTGGGTTGCCGTGTGAAACGGGTAAGCGGAACCATCCCCTACACGGCACCAGAGGTTTGTCGCGCTAACCGTGCCGAAGGTTTCCTGGTTACCACCAGTATGGATGTGTGGGCGTTTGGAGTGCTGGTCTTCTGCATGCTCACGGGCAATTTCCCCTGGGAGGCGGCAATGCAGGCCGACGCCTTCTACGAGGAGTTCCGGCGCTGGCAGAAGGCAGGCTGTCCTGTGGGAACGTACCCTTCTCAGTGGCGCCGCTTCACCGACGACGCCCTACGCATGTTTCAGAGGCTACTGGCTGCTGAACCAGAAAAACGCTGCGGGGTCAAGGACGTCTTTTGCTTTATCAAGTATGAGCTTGTCAGCGAACTGAGGCGCCGAGCATCATACAGAGCGAAAAGAGGAGAGAGGTCAAGCTCTGGAGTCTGTACAGGCAGCTGCACATCGTCCTCCTCATCCACACGCTCCTCCCTTAGACATCAGGAGCCATCCACCCCTCCAGGAACCTCCTGTCTCCGCCCAGCACCACTTAAACGTAGCGTCCTCTCCGACCCACTCTCTCCTAGAGATGAGTCGGGACAGCACCAGACTGTGGGCCGAGACAAGAACAAAAGCCAGATGGTCATGGCGACAGCCATAGAAATCTGCGTTTGAACATTCTGATGTGAGAGCTGAGAAGCAGATGGCTACTCATAGTTGTATAAAGCTGAGAAAAGGCGTTAATGACTTCCACAGAGACACGGTGAAACAAAAGAGGTACTCAAACCTTAAAAGAGAAGCTCAGGGTCCAGTACCATTCTGTTAAATGGACACCATCAATCAGCGGTACACATTTGGACAGCCTGTCAATGAAAGTCAATTCCACTTAGGGGTTGATTTGTGACCAAAGACTGCTTCCCGAGCAGAGAAGCCTTGCAGACGGCGTTTAGCAGGCCACTGATGCTCCTCAATGCTCCACATCACCCATTACCCCCCAAAACAATCTGTGCTGGTGCTAATTACTCTAAAGTTAGATTCCCTTCATGTTGCAGAACTTCAATGTTTACTTAGCTAAAGTTACATAGTGTGGTAATCACCACACTTAATAAACCATTTCACATTTTTCACGTTGTAGCCACAAACTTCAATGTATTTTAATGGGATTTTATGTGATCGATCAAAAAAAGTAAACTGAAAGCAATCTACTGCTTTTAAAGATTGCTTTTCTTTCAATTCTTTTTTTTGAGAAGAGCAAATCTCCAAACTATGATGCCACCACCTCTATGTGAACTTGAGCAATCCTTTTCATAAAATCTAAAAAAGAAAAAAAAAAGGATTACATTGAAATATGTTGCTGTGACATGATTAACTGTGGAAGAAAATTCACAGGTTGGGAATATTTTTGCAGAGCAAAAGGAGATTTAGCTTAAATAATTGGATAGATGAGTGAGAAAGAAGCCACTAATTAGATCCTGCATTTGGCTGCATTTTCCCATTGACTTCCAGTAAAGGAAATCAGATTATTTAAGAGAAATATACAAAAGAAAAGATGAATTAAAAAAAAAACCCTTAATGTAGCAGTTTGGATGAGACGTGTCTTTATGACGGTATTTAAACTCGAGAGACGGATTCTCTGTAATAAGAATCAACTCAGGACACTTCAGTGGAAAAACTTCCTGTTTAATCACTGACTGAAACACATGTGGAGGCTGGAAGTCGCATCTGGCACTTTTGAATGACTCTCAGTGGGACTCGAGTTTTTTTAGTGAGATGCTAGAAAAAAAAAACAGGCTTTCTCTAAATGAACAAAAGGAGGTGGAGAAAATGAATTTAGTGTGTGAGTGTGTGTGAGTGTCAAAAGTTTCAAAAGCACAATATCTTTTCTATTTGTAAAGGTTAATTACTGTTAGAGAACACTTTGTACATAAGTGGATATTTGCAGGAGTTCATCATGTAATCAGGTAGTTCGATGTAGCTGGACTCTTTGTATGACAGTGGAGGCTTTTTCAGTTCATGGAGTCTATGTAGCAACAGAACATGATCAAATGGACTATCATAGATAAAAATAAGAAGATTCGTGACTTAGACCATTTGCTTTGTATAACTGTAGCGTCTTCCATTACTTTGATCATTTATGCTTCTTTTGTTTGAACTGCACCTTTTGTTTTTCCACACAGGTTAATGAGCACAGCTGAAACCAGATATTTACGAGGACCTTGTTAATACACTTGTTTTAAATTTAGACTAAATGTTTCCTACTTTTAGGTCCATTAGAATTAACAATATTATTTCTACTTGCAAAATGTCAGATAATGAGATATTTTTCGAATATATAATTACTTTTATTTTGAAACTTTGGCAGAACGAGTGTAACTGGGTCAGGTTTGTAAACCGCGTCTGCTTCAAAAAAGCCTTTGCTGTTTCTACTCTCATTTTTTAATGGGACCTAAATCAGAGCTGCTCTACACTGATGACAGTTGTACGCTCAGCAACATGGTCCCGTTTTGTGACCCATTTTAACGTCCGATATCTTTAGATTTTGCTTCAGTATTTACCCTTTAGCTGTCATCTTATTATTATAGTTCATATCCAATCCCTCTTACAGCAAATACCCCACGGCATAATGCCACCACCGCCTTACTTCACTAGTGGGAGGGGGTTAGACTTTTCCCCTTTTAACCTCCATTTTATTTTAAACAGGGCACCTCACTTGTCTAAAAATGGTTTGCTTTTTCAAATGGTGATTTCCGTTGCCTTCAATGATGCCGTCTTTTTGTTTTCCTTTTGGCCTCTAAGCAATATTGGTTCAGGTGTAGTTTTGCAGTGAATAGTGATGCTCTCTCATCTGCAGCTTCAAAACCATTCATTTACCAGAATCCACCTCCTTCCCAAACAGTATTATGGGCGTACATCCCCAGGGTTTCAATGCTTTTATCCCAATAAGGGTTTGAATAAATAAAAAATGGCAACTTCTGGGATCTAAAAGGATAAACAACATATAAGAAAGTCAACTATTCTCTTCCAAAAAATCTTGGCTATCTTATTATTTTGAGGTGTTGCCTTAAGATGTCTCCACATATGATCAATTCACTTAACTCAAAAGTTGTAAGCTAATCTGCCAGATTCAAACAGCCATCATATCATAATCCAGGGTTTCCCAAATACTTTAAAAGCAGAGTGACTTCAGGTAAATGTCTTAATTTAGGAGAAAAACTATGTTTTCAATCTTGCTTTTGGCCAAAAGAATTAGCTTTGGCTTTCATAAATGACCTGAAACTAGAAACCTCAGTATGTTTTAATTGTAAATAATGAGAATAACTTTGTCTTTTTGTAGGATGGATGTAAATATCTGGGTTCAACTCTAGATTTCTGCATTGATCTGTGACCATAATCTTCATTCCCCCTCTAATAGCTCTTATTCAACCTATTCACTTGGGTTAAGCTAATGAGGTCTTTATCTCAGCCTGACATCTTAATGGTCTGAACATGGTGTCTCTGCCGCCAGTTTGATCAGGTTGACCCTCTCGGAAGGACGATCACCGCGTCCCCTGCTGACATCGTGAAAGGAGCTTATAGATGGAGAGCGTGTGAAAACAGCTTCAGCTTTCAATTCATCCAGACACTTCTAATTATAAAATGCATCTTAACGGTATAGGCTGCTCATTACCTTTATGTTTCTCACTAATGTCATTCTGGTCTGTTTCTTGGTTCAACCCAGGACAGCTCATCCCCTCTGTCACTTTGTTGACACCACTGGGAGCTCCTCCATTTCAATGTCTGTCCTTATCTTGAGCATCACTCCTAATTGAACACTAATGAGTCTACTTGTTGCATGCACCCCTCCCTCCCAGCCACACTCATCTCTTCATTAGAGTTACTGAACTTATTAAAGTCTGTACGTGTTTCATGAAAGCCAGTTTTTTTGTGCTTTTTCAGCCGCTTAAATTATGTCATCATTCACTTCCTGTTCTGTCTTCATATTGTGACCGAGCATAAAACTACTATTCAATTGAATAAAAAACTTTTATTAATCCCAAAGAGAAATTACATTTAAATTAAAATTGAATTCATGTTGTCATGGAGCATGAAGCCAGAAATGAGGGTGATGCGTGAATTATTTATTTCTTAGCGGGTAATTTTTTTAATAGTTTGCCATGAGGATCTAAACAGTGTTTCTCTACATGTTGCTGTTCTAATACTGAGAAACCAATGCTGATTGAAGCATCTCAGATCCCCTTTAAAAGGTGGTGAGAGGAAAATTTGATAATTGTGGGAATGTTTGTGCCGGGTCCAAACAGTCTGAGGGGCTGTTCACCTTTCCAGTAAAAAAACAAAAAAAACTATTACAATCAATTTCTCTCATTTTCTTTTAGTTTTTTTTTTTTTAAGTTTTGGGAAAAGTTCACAAAAAAAACAAACAAACAAGAGAGAGTAAAATGCAGATCCTCTGAATTTATAATTTATTCCTCTCTTTTAGTCCCGGAACTTTCACTATGTTTTTATTAACATGGCGGCCATATTGTCTGTTACTTTAGGGGCTGCTTGAGACTTTTCTTCGGCAATATTTTGACTTGAGATATTTTAGTCTGGTTACTTGCATAATGAGGCTACAGACAGAAAAAAATACCCAGACTCATTTTTTCAGCCTTTATTAGAAAAGCAAAAAAAAACAAAACAGCAAACATTCGAAAATGTTAAAACTCAACAACTCTAACCCTTTACCTGTTGTGTCTTACTCTTGTGCAACATATAAAGAAACAGCATCCAGTCCTAAAGGCATTCTAAAATCTTCATCCATTTCACCTGATATAGAACTACATTAAACATTGCATCACATACTAAAATAAAAGGTTTCGCTTTGGGTTTGCTTTTATATGTTTCTCCTCTGCACCATTTTGTAACAGACAACTACCACTAGGTAATATGTGAACTTTTGTTTCTTCTGGACTGTTATCGCAGGAAATGAAAAAAGCTAAATAAGAATAGATGTACAATTATTTTAAGATCCACTCTGCCTAGCTCTCCCTTTACGCTTGGTATTTCTGAAGGGATTTCTGCCCTCCAGTTTGTATAAAAAAATGTACAGCCTGTATCCTTAAGACAAAAGAGGTATCAACGAAATGTTAATATATGTTGAAATAAATTAATGCACCAAACTCTATTGCTCCTGGGTCTTTCTGAGGCATATTTAAAAATACTGTGACTCTTTTTTTTTTCTTTTTCCATGCAAACTCTCATCTGAGCCTTGTGAAGTCCCCATCCCATTAGATGAAGGTCAGCGTGAATCACATATAATTTCCCAAGGCTTTGGCTCAGAGCCTGTTTCGCCACTGAGCCTCCAGACTGGTTTAATGGTGCCAGCTTCCATCTGAAAACAGCCCAATTAGCTCATCTGTAGATAGGAGTTATCTGCCGTCCTCAAAGAGCAAAGAGGTTCAAGGACGAACAAAATATGGCGCCGGGTGCTGGAGCCGTCATCGTCAGCGCTTCCTTTTTTTGCTGCCTCTCAGCTGATGTGCCAGAAAGGAAGAGTTAGCAAAAGTTGTTATCAAGGCGAGTTTAGACAGCAGGAGAGCAAGTGCTGGTGTATATGCCACTGAGGAAGGCTAATTGGTTCAGACAGTGGCAGAGAAAGGAAAGGTCAGCCATGACACACCATGTTTGTGTAGGGAGCAGAAGATTGTCCTTTGTGATATGCCTGTTCTCTGACCTTAGCCAGCTGCAGCAGCTTGGTGGTAACAGTCAAGGTCCTGCTACAGTCAGACACCAACAAAATATGATACAGCAGGTTTCACAACTCAGGAGATTTTATTTACAGCAAATTATCTGTACAGATTTTCACCAGCGGTTTGCCATTTCCACAGCTTTCTGTCAGGTTACACCGAGAGCCTTTAACAGAAGAATCATTTTTATCTGACTGGGCTGAACTGACCTGGTAAGGTCCAACAAGGCTGCTGGATTATTTCTTAGCTGCAGCTTTTAAAAGACAGCCAGCTAAACCTAATTGCTTCCCAGCGCTGGAGAAAGCTGGACGTTAAGCCTACAGTTGATGGTCTATGAGAGTGAACAGCAAGGGAAGCGATCTCTCTGGATGCAGCTGTCTCCCTGAGATCAAGTGTTAAGTCCTCTGAGCAGCTGCTGATGAGGGTAACATGAGGTGACTGGGAGGCCGTTCAATGTCCTGTTTCGTTCCAGGATCCTAGGAAGGAGGAAAAATGGCTTAAATTAAATGCTTGTCATGATGCGGTTTTAATTGTAAATCTTTGAAAACATTTCTCTAAGTAAATTCTACAGTTTTCCAAAAGAACTAATTGATTGTGATGCTGTGACCAAAGCTAAAAGCAACAGCCTATTAGGTGGGGTCATTGGATGCATTCTGGAGCCTGCGAGTTTGAGCCTTACTTATTTCAGGATGGAACTCTGATGGAGTTTATATTACTCTGTCATGTTGGCATTTAAGATAACAAGCTAGAAAGCCAGTTACTAATCCAGGTTAAACTGATAAGCCTGTGCAACTAGTCTGGCTTTAAAATATAAGGTTAATCTTAAAAGAAAGTTGAATGATTCCAGCTAATTCAAAATGCTGGCAAAAAAAGAGATAATAATGAACTAAAGTTTTTGGCACTCCACAGATTAAAAAGACATTTTGGGGGAGAAAGAAAGATGGTTATTCCTAATAGAGAATCTAACAAGAGCACCACAGAAATATTTTAACACCATGTGTTCTTTAAAAAAAATGAAAATATGGGAATAAAAGAAAGATTACTAAAACAAATG